CGGGGACTCTGATGGGGGGACTCTGATGGGAAAGGGAGGACTCTGATGTAAAAGGGGGGATCTGATGTTAAAGGGGGCTCTGAGCTGAAGGGCGGACTCTGATGTGGAGGTGGGGCTCTGACTTGAAAGGGAGGACTCTGATGTAAAAAGGGGGCTCTGATGTTAAAGAGGGGCTCTGAGGTGAAGGGGGGACTCTGACTTGAAAGGAAGGACTCTTATGTAATAGGGGGAAGGGGGATTTTAGTACGCCGTGATCTCCACCTCACAGCCAACTGTTCATGCCTAATATCCACTATTGAACACACAGCTCCGATCACATTGGTATCATATCATCATAGACGCCACCATTGTTTGTGTATCTAGTTTGTGAAAGTTTGAAAGCATCCAATTGTGTAACAAAAGTGCGCAGATATTGGATTCCATGGTGTAAGATTGCAGAGGGAGTGGATCCAGTTTATTATCCAGCAGGAACAGTGGAGCAGAGAACATCCGATTTCTTAGGAGTAAGAGATCACGTCTTCAGCAGACTTTTTGTTTCCCCGCAGTTGCTACAACAAGATACTTTTAATAAATCAATGTTTAACTGGTACTCTTTTTTTAGGGTCCGCTTTACACCTAATAAATCTATTTTTTCCCATAGGTGGGGTGAGTGGACCGAGGTTATGTGGTGCCCTGAAGGATTCCTTATAAGATTCATCATGCAGGTGGAGGCCCATAAAAAAGGAGGAGATGACACCGCCGCCAACAATTTCATGTTCCTCTGTTCCGACACCACCGTCCATGTGGGGCTGGGCCAGAGCTGGGGCCACTACGGGAAATGGAGCGGGCGCTGCAAGAACGGGATCTGCGGGATGAAGACCAAAGTGGAAGCTCCACAAGGAACCGGAGATGACACGGCCCTGAATGATGCCCAGTTCGTATGCTGCAAAGACTAAACCGATGGAGGTGTACGGCAGATAGACGGCGGGGTTGAACGCTGCGCTGTAATTCTGTGAATACGATTGTTTGAATAATTGGAGTTCCAATAAACAAAATACACACAAATATTCACTTGATAATTCAGCGAGATATCTTCAGTTGTGTGCCCAGCTCCCAAAACCATTATGAAATCTTGTTCATGTATGCATCATAATAAAGTTTTCGATAGAGGTAAAATCTCTGTGAGGGTTTTATTTCTTACCCTATTGGATGCCATTTTGAGACTGCATGTAGCCCCCAATACGGAACATCGGAGGGAATATATTTCATCTTCCTATGTGTCAGGATCCGGATCTGAACCGAGGGCCTCTGCTGTAGCTGGCAGTGGTTCTACCTGCTCGGCCACTCTGAAACCTTGGATAGCTCCTTGCCTTGCTCTCATGTGTAATTCTCAGGTAAACCTAGTTTCTGCTGAACTCTGCACTCCTTGCTCCTCCCTTGAACGTCCTATTTTAGCCACGCCTCTGCACTTGCCAATATCTTGTTTCCTGCTCCTCCTGTGATACAATCTGCTCATACTGCTACCCGTGTACCGACCTTTGGCTGCTGATTCACCGACTACTCTCATCGTCTTCTGCTTCATATCCAATACCTTTGGCTACTGACCTCGGCTTGATCCCTGACTACGCTTCTGCCTGCTCCGATACTACTACCACGTCTGCTTGTTTACCAAACCTGGCCTGTGATTCCACAAATTTGCCTGCTGTTTCAGCCACTGGACTCTGAGTTCAGCCACTGGACTCTGTTTCAGCCCTGATCCCAGATTGTGACACTATGACTAATATTTTGTTATTTATTAGAGAAGAAACATAATCACTCTGATCATTTTAAAGCATAAATTGATTGCAGGTGGTTTGGAGTCTTGAAAGACCCTTTGTTGCCCGCCAGCGGCGGCCGGCCCCCCCCCGCCCGCGCCGCCCCCG